GTTTAGGAGGGAGTGAGGACCTGGGGGCGGCTCTGAGCGGGGGGGTTGCACGCTGCGCAGTGCAGGGACACAGCTGCTGTTTACCCACACCTCCATCAGCAGTTTTTTCTCTGTCCTTAAAGGCCGGGAGGCTCTGACTTCGGGGGATGCACGACGTGAAGAGCAGACCCCAAAGCGCCCATCCCCGATCCCAATGCAGCCATGCTCCTCGTCCTCCCGACGAGATTTCCTCCACCTGGAGCTCGCAGGCAAATCATTTCCACACAGCATCCCCTCTTGCGCCCCCTTCCCCCCCTTCTCCCCATCCCCGTGCTGCACTGCCAGAGAATGGGATTCACACCTCTGGATGGGGGCAACAGCACTGCGCCCATCTTTGCAGCACATGATGTCCCTTCTTTGCTCCTGTTTGGAAATCAGGGGGGAAAAAAAATAATCGGTTTGTCACCTGCAACCTTTGTGAGGCGCCGGCGGCAGCGGGCTGAGCAGCAGGGATGCCATCCTGCAGTGCCACCCCGTCACCCCCCACCCCTCCCTGGATGATAAAATGCATCTGCTGAGATAACCCCGACCCGGAGCTTTGCTTGGAAGGGTGAAACATTGCATGGAAAATTACAGGATTTACGGGATGACAGAAGGTTTGCTTTCCCAAAAGCAGACCCTGTGTGGTGATTCCCCTGCTTTGCTGACTCCACACAGCCTCCCCAAAATCTCAGCTTCGGCTCTGCCCCCAAATCCACAAAGCAGCCGCCCCCAGTTGGGTTAACCCCCATCCCTGAGCTCTGCATAGGGGTTAGGCGACCTAAATAATGATGGGGGGAAGATTGCAGCAGCGTTGGCTTCCCCACCTGACGCTGTGCTCCTCCCCACCAGGAGCTCTCAGGCACTCAGCAATCAAGAGCAGCAGATTGATCTGTGGTGATCTCATGAAGCACCAGGCAGCTTGAGGGAGCTGTGTGTGCCCCCATTTATTTACTGGGGTTTGCCCTGCTCTGGGCTGGGAGCTCACCCTGATGTCCAGTCCTTCTGCATCCCATCCGTGCCATGCACACAAAAGGAAAGGATTTGTGCTGCACAAGGGAAACGTTTGTGTGTTTTCCAGCCTGCCCGCATTGCCCCCAAAGCAGCATCTCAGCACGCCTTGGCCATGCACAGCCAGCACAGCACGGCCCACGCTGACCCTACAGCTTTGTTTTGCTCCCTCTGCACCTCGACTCCATTCCCCCGAGCTCCGGATGAGCCCCGACGCGGGGCTGCACCGCCCAGCACCCACCCTGCCTTCCAAACCCGGCTCAGAAACAGCTCGTCCTGCAGCAAACCCGTTACCCGCAGCAGCTCCGAGTCTGGCAGGGTCAGCAAGCGCCAAGGATGCAAACGTTAATTAATTGCACTCTGCAAAGCAGCCTGGCCGTGCAGGGTGCGTAATTAGGGAGCGAACCACAGAGGGCTGTGGAGCTGAGCTCCTGCTTTTGGGGGGGGGGTGGGGTTGGTTTGCGGCCCCAGTGTCACCTGCTGGGCCGGCACCACCTCGCTGCCCTCCACCTGGCAGCAGGACGTGGCATTTCCCGAGGGCAGAGCGATGAGTGCGTGCGGAGCGGAACTGCTGGCGAAGGGCGATGCGGAGCCGCGGAGCCTCGGGGGGAATCGTGCGCTGATGCTCTTACAGCGCTGCTGCCGCCGCCGTGACTCATCCCGGCCCGCCGAGGATGCGCTTGAATACGGAGGAAAGGAGAAGCACCAGGAGAGAGAATAAACGCTCTGCTCAGAAGGCACCTCCGCTATGGAGAGGGAAAAAAGTCCCCCTGCCGACTGCCCGTGGCTCCAGCCCCATGGCCACGTGCTGCCAGCCCTGGCCACGTCCCCCAGTGCCACCAGCCCTCCTCCAGGCACAGACGCACCGCCCCACAGCGGCATCCAGAGCCTGAGCCCCCTGTGTGAAGGCTCTTCCCAGTGCCCACCCTGCAGTCTGCCCCGGTGCAAGTGGAGGCAGTTCATCCAGGTGATGGGTTGGTAGAACTGTGCTGCACCCATGGGCACAGCTCTGCACCTACATCTGTGGGTACTGCTCCTGCATCGAGGGGTTTCACCCCTACATCTATGGATACAAATCCTACATCCATGGGTACCACCCCTACATCCCTAGGTATCACTCTTACACCTATAGATACCACTCCTGCACCCATGGGTGCAGCTCTTACATCTATGGGAATCACCCTTACATCTAAGGGCATCACTCCTGCACCTGTGGGTATCATTCCTACACCTACAGGCACCACTCCTGCATCTATGGGTACAGCTCCTATACCTATGGGTACCACCCCTGAATCTGTGGGTGCTGCTCCTGCATCACTGGGGGCCACTCCTGCATTGCATCCATTCACCTGCCCACGTTTTGCTGCACATTGGTCATGCAACCTCAGAGCCATGGAATGGGTTGGGCTGGTAGGAACCCAGCTGCCTTTCTGCAGGAGGAAGGGCTAAAAAAAATGATGAAAACCCTTGAATCAGCATCATTGCAGCTAAGCCCGTGGGTTCCCATGGCTCACCCGTGCTGCTGGGTGCATTGGAGCTACAAGAAGGGCTTTGCACATCCAACACAGCCTCCCCAAACCGCTGCTGCCGTTAAAGCCAGCCAGGACTGCGGGTGCTCCACATTTCTGCCCAAACTCAACTCACAGCCAAACACTCCCATGCTCTGACTTCCCCTTCTCCCCAAGCCAACCCCACCGGCGCAGGGAGAACAGCTGCAGGCACATGAATAAGTAAAGGGGAGAGCCTGGAGTGTGGGGTGGAAAATGGGATGGGAACAGAGCGCAGCTCGACGGGGGAGCAGTGGGGATGGATCTGGGTTAGTGCTGACCTGAATTCCCCACATCAAAGCCCACATCCCTTCCTTCCCCGGGGGAGGTGGGTGCGTGGGCTGAGGCTGCGGGGACCGAGGAGCCACAGCTGAGCATCCTCGTGTCTGGGCATCAGGGTGGGGAGGCAAAAAGAAAAAGGGAATGCTTTGTATGCCTTCCCCTGTGAGCAGGAGAGGGGTGAGCCGGGGGTCTGACAGGTCCCCCATGCTGGGGGGCAACGCACGGACATACAGCCTGTGTGCAGCCGAAGGGAGGCAGACACACAGCTGTGGTGATGGCCTTTGGAAGCTGTGCCTCTGTCGTCCCCCCCCCCTTGGACGTCTCGCTGCCCGATGACTCACTGCATGTGAATGCTGCAACGCATGGAAGCAGCGCAGGAGGGGGGAGCAGCTCCCCAAATCCGGGCAGCCTCTGCCAGTGTGCAATCAGAGCTCCATTGTCAGCCTGATGGGGGGGGAAGGGGGGTGTGAAAATACCAAAATAAGCGACAATCAGAGAAAAACAAATCTCCCATAGGGACCGATGGGTGCGCAGTGCTGGCGGTGCCCTGCGCCCTTCCCTGCTACGGGGCCAGGCACGATGTTGGGAGGGGTGGGGGGAGGGTTTGATAACCCCCACTCTGAAGCAACCACCTTCATTTCAGGCTGATTCTTAGGTGTTTTTCACGGGGATGGGCTGTAGGCAGAACCACCAATGCATCCTGCATCGAGGCAGGCTGGCGATGCCCAGTAGGAGGTGAGAGCACCTCGGGGACACGGGCGGCATCGGTGACACCACCGCCATCTGCAGCAGCAACGCACCGGGCGGGGGTTCCCCGTGCAACCCCCCGACCCCAAACAGCACCGGAGGGGTAACGATGCCCAAAGATACCGAGAGAGGCAGGGAAGGAGCTCAGCTGCTTTGGTCTCCCCTGACGCCGGGCTTTGTTCTCTCCCAGCAGCTGCCCCGAGAGGTAGGAGAACACTCGGAGCTGTTGACGTAGGAAAACAAACGGCGGAGCTCAGCCCGTGTTCCTCCTCAAGGCTGAGTGCCGGTGTGGGAAGGGCTCGGCGGCTGCGGAGCTCCTCAATGCCTTTCCTGCAAACCCCAAAGCATCCCGCGAGCTGCGGGGTGTGGGGTGATGTGCTGCTCCCACCCCGGGTCCGACCCACAGCCTGCAGAGCTTTGGGGGGAGCAAATATCCCCACCAAAACGAGCTGCACCCTCAGCTGGGCGGCGTGGGGTGCCTCCATCCCGCTGACCTCTGGGGTTCCTCACACCCCGCGAGAGGAGCACAGGTCCCCCAGCACAACCCGTTGGGTTCCCAGACCTGTTGGAGCACCGATCCCATTTGGAGCCCTGATCCCATTCAGAACTCTGACATCATTTGGAGCCCCGACCCCACGTGCAGCCCCGTTCCCATTCGGAATCCCGATCCCTTTTGCAGCCCCAGTCCCGTTCAGACCTCCAACACCATTTGGAGCCCTGTTCCCATGGGCAGCCCCGGTCCCATATGGGGCCCCCAGCTTCTCTGTGGGGACAGGGGCTGTTTGCCCTCCCCACCCCATTCCTTCTCCTCTCCCACCCCCCTCCTATCCCCCTCCCCAGCCTTCTTCCAAACAAGAGAAAACAGGATCAGTATCGCAGTTTGCACCGAACCCGATGTCCCCCAGCCTTGCGACCCCCGGGGATGTTCGTGGCCCCTCAATGACTTCGGAGGAAGGCAGCAGGGAGTGGGATGGGGCAACAGGGAGCGGGTGTGGGGGCTCTACAGGAAGAGGGGGAGATGCAGCAGGAACCGGGGGCGGTCCGGGAGGGACGAGGTGATGTAGGGAACCGGGATCGGAGGCAGCAGGGCCACGGTGTGGGGGTGCAGCAGGGATCGAGGTGGGGGCGGCAGGGACCGGGATGGAGCAGGGACCGGGGGGAGGGGTGGGCTGCGGCAGAGGGCACTAAAGATTCGTGCTGGGAGGGGTCTGGGATGCAGGTAGGGACCAGGAGGGTGCGGAGGGAGGCGGCAGAAGACGGCAGGGCCGCCCCCGGCCCCACGTGGCTAGGAGCACACGGCGGCTCTATAAGGAGACCGCGGGAGGCGGCGGCGCCGGGCGGGAGCGGGACTCGAACCCGCGGCTTTGGGTCTGCGCGGTGCGGGCGCTGCGGGGCATGGAGCTGAACACGGAACTGCCCACGGAGCCGATCGCGGTGTGGGATAACAGCACAGCATGGGATGCCCTGCCCGGAACCAGCGGCAATGAGACGGGACCGCCGAGAACCAAAAACGCCACATCCATCCTGATCGCCATCGTCATCACCGCGCTGTACTCGGTGGTGTGCGTGGTGGGGCTGCTGGGCAACGTGTTGGTGATGTACGGCATCGTGCGGTGAGAGCGGGGCTGCGGGAGCGTGTAAAAGGCGTCAGAGTGCGCGGGGTGTGAGAGGGCGATGAGTGCGAGAGCAGCGGGGCTGTGCTGCGCTCGAGGGGACCGCGGGAGCGCGGCTGGGGGCGCGCCGGGTGCGGAGAGCCCCCGGGGGCGCCGAGCTGGGTGTGATGCGGCCACGTGTGAGCACACACGTGTGTGCAAGGCGCGGAGGTGAGAGGGGGTGCAGAGACAGAGCAGCTGTGTGTGTGTGTGAAGTGGGGCTGCGGGAGATGGTATCCGGGGGTCCCGTTCCCCTCTCTCCTGCAGGCGCGCTGTAGGATCCACTTGCTGCCCTTCATGGCTGGGTGGGACCACAGAGAGCCGTGCGTGTCCACCCCCCATCCCTACAGAACGGGGCAGCTCTATGGAGCGCAGGAGCCCTGCCAGCAGCTGGGGGTTGTGTGGGATTCCCCGTTTTGTCCCGTTTCCCCTCCAATCCCGGCACTTCCATTGCACGGGGTCAGCGGTGTGACCTTCCCACCTGGCTCCTGGGGCCCCCAGAATCGGTGGTGTGAGAAGGAACGGCATGCAAAGCCGATGGCAAAGCTCAGAGGAGGGACAGCATCCCCGTGGAACAAAGGCAGCTCCTTCCCGCAGCCCTGTGCAGGGCGGGGGGCTCAGACACAGCACCAGCAGGAGTTTTTCACCCACCCGAAGCAGCTGTACAGTTGACCCTGGAGAGAAAAAAAGCAGAAATCAAGGGGGAGCACGCACTGAGGGATGCACATAGTCAGCCCCCTCCAGCTGCCTGGAGCAGGGACGGCATTTTGAGATAGAAAAAGCCTGAATGTGCAAACAGCATCCTCGTCAGCAAACTCATACGGTCACCTCATTGCTGCCTGTGCTTAACGAACGCAGCCTGGTGCAGCAGCCAGAGCACATAGCCATGGTTTCAGGCCCCCCACTCCCTGACCCAGATGCTGTATCTCTGGGGGATGGGAGTGCATTGCCCTCTGAGCCCCTCTGATGATTCTTGGGGGGCTTCTCTGGGGTTTGTTGCACGAGGTGGGGGCTCAGCCTCGCAAAACTGAAGGTCTCAAAGCTTTTGGCATCTGTGTGCATTCGGCAGAATGCAGGCTAAGGACAGAGCAGTTTGCTACATGGGCGGGTTGCTCTGCATTGGGTAGGATTTACAGGGGGAAATCTGCACAGGATGGGGCTGTCAGTGGGATTGCAAGCACAGTCTGGGTCCAGATCCCTCTGCAGGGGGGTTTGTGGCTGGAGTGCACCAGCAGGGCTTGGGGACATGGGGACCCGGAGATGTGGAAACATGGGGACCCCATTCCCCAGTGTGCTGTGGGTAGTGGTGATGAGCACATACAGGACCCTGTGCACAGCCCAACACCTCCATCCCTCCACCCTGGAGCCCATCCAAGCCAAAACCCAAAGCCCAGAGCAGCCAAAATGGGAGCCCACGTCCAGCACCCAGCCACCATCCAACAGATCGCATTGTCTGCAGTGTTTAAGCCCCTCCTTGGAAGCACTGGTGGCACTGGCAGCCCGGAAGGGAGGCTCACCACCCTGGACCCCCCCACTGGGCTGAATCCTTCCCCAAAACCCTCTGGAGGAGGGGGCACATCTGGCAGCAGCTGCAGAAGCGCTTACCCAGCACTGCGCTGCGCAGCCCGAGTCACACGTTTGTCCCCTTTGTGCAAAAAGCAGAGATCAGAGAAGTGTGAACCTACCTGGAATGGCTATTTTTAACCTGGGTGAGCCAAAACAAAAACTGACAGCAAACAGAAATCCTCAGCTTTTTGTTTAACCCAGAAGGAGACGTTGCTGAAACGCGCATTCACCGACAGAGCGATGGCACGGGAAAGGGAAACGTCTCAAGGAAATTTCAAATTCACGTTGTGCTTGAAGAGCAAATTCAGATTAGATGTTCTTCCCTCCCCGCCCTCCCCCAGGCGAGGGGCTGCAGCAGGAATGCGCTCACTGCTGTGCAGAGCCCCATTTCTGCAGCTCCATCTCTGACAGCACAAACCTGGGGCTGCATCCCCCCCCCCCCCCCCAGTGGGGTCTGATGGTGGATGGTGGGGAAAGCCAAAGGAAACGGAGCCCCTCCTTGCCCCAATTTGCTCCTTGCATGATGGAGTCATTCTCTAAGCTGAGCCCCAACAGCCCAAGGATCATCTTCCCCCACGTCCCAGAGCCAAATCCGTCATCCACAGTGCAGCACCCTCCCCCAGTTCTCAGCCTGACCCCCTATGGATGCTGTGAGCAGCTTTATCCACGCACAGAGATGCTTTGCTAATCGATTAGGGGGCACCTTAATGAGCTGGGGGCTGCAGAGGATGCTCTGAGGTACGGGGGATACCTGGGAAGGAGCGCATGGAGGTGATGGAGCTGCAGGCACAGTCCTGACCCCAGCACCCCACAAACAACCCAGTGGTCTCCCAGAGCACTGTGACCTTTGGGGACCTTCAGCTCTCAGCACCAGGTCCAGGCACTGCTCCTATCACAATGTGATGAGGACCAGAGGTCAGCAGCAGAGCCAACGTCCCCATGTCCCTGTGCCATGCGTGGGGCCAGGCTTCCCCAAAGGCTCCCGTGGAGCAGCTCCAGCCGTGCTGATGGTGCTGCTGATGGTGCTGATCCCATCTGGCCTCTTTCAGGGGGTAATCGATCCAATTTCTGCAAGGAAACTCGACAGGGAAGCAGGCTGGATAATCACGATTTACTGGGTGGAAAATCAGATAGAGGAGGTTTCAGGAGGTAAAGGACATTGTGCAACTGATTCGGGGAAATGGAGTAAATCGATTTAATTGGAAAAGAGACTGATTTGAAAAGCTCCTCGGAGTTGCTTTGATCTCCAAGTAGAGGCAGGCAGATGAATGAGCGTTGTTTCCCTGGCCAGGTGTGTGGGAGAGGCTCCTTTGGCTTCACCCCACGCAGCAGCACATCCCCAGCCCTTCCCCAGATGGGCACACAGAATGGTTACAGTTGGAAAAGACCACTAAGAACATCCAGTCCAATCTCAACCCATCCCCCCGTGCCCACTCATAGAATCACGGAGTCATTCAGGTTGGAAAAGACCTCCAAGATCCCCAACCCCAACCCAACCCCCCTCAGTGCCACATTTGCTCAGCGATTTTCCCCACCCCACTCAAATTCGATAGGAAACCAAACCAGGAGGATTTCTGGTTCCCTGAGCGCCCGCCAGCCCCCACCTCTGCCCTCCCCTTCAGGTACACCAAGATGAAGACAGCCACCAACATCTACATCTTCAACCTGGCGCTGGCCGACGCGTTGGCCACCAGCACGCTGCCCTTCCAGAGCGCCAAGTACCTGATGGAGACCTGGCCTTTTGGGGAGCTGCTCTGCAAGCTCGTGCTCTCCATCGACTACTACAACATGTTCACCAGCATCTTCACCCTCACCATGATGAGTGTGGACCGTTACGTGGCCGTGTGTCACCCGGTCAAGGCGCTGGATTTCCGCACACCGGCCAAGGCGAAGGTCATCAACGTCTGCATCTGGGTGCTCTCCTCTGTCATTGGGGTGCCCATCATGGTCATGGCAGTCACCAAGTCAAAAGGCAAGTGAGCTTTTGAGGAAAGGTCCCATCTGTGCTTCCTGGGGTGACACTGCTGAGCCACTCGGTCCTGTCCGTGTTTGTGCTCTGTTGGAGGTCATCCCTCCATCACGACCATGGTGGAAAACCAGCATGGTGCTGTTTTCCATTTTGGTTGCAGAGGTTGGAAACAGTCCCAGGTGTTCACTGCCGGGGTGCAGATCAGGTGCCGACGCCAGGGCTTGGGGTACGATGGGTATACTGGCTATATAGCGAAATCCCCAGTGAGTCTGCAGCTCCTGTTTGGTGGCTGCTGGGAGAAATCCGGGCATCCTGCAGAAGCAATCAGTTTCAGTGGAAGGTGACAGGGGGATGCGCCCAATGCAGGGGTTGGGATGCTGCAAAAGGCTCTGCAGAGAATGATCCCCAGTTTGGTGGCACCTCCTGCATCCCACAGGCACCCCACAGAGCTCCAGGGCAGTCTGCAATGAGATGGCACATGGGCACGCATCTCCTGGTGGTTTTAGCACGGATGGAGATGCTCTGCCACCATGGAGCAGAAGCATTCAGTTCCCAGCAGACGCTCCATCTGCTCTCCCTTGTTTCCATCCCTCTTCCAGCAGATGGAACAGTGCTGTGCACGCTGCAGTTCCCCGACCCTCCCATCTACTGGGACACGGTGACCAAGATCTGCGTCTTCATCTTTGCCTTCATGGTGCCCATCCTGGTCATCACCATCTGCTATGGGCTGATGATCCTGCGCCTGAAGAGCGTCCGTCTGCTCTCAGGCTCCAAGGAGAAGGACCGCAACCTGCGGCGCATCACCCGCATGGTGCTGGTGGTGGTGGCAGCCTTCATCATCTGCTGGACGCCCATCCACATCTTCGTCATCGTCTGGACGCTGGTGGACATCGACAAGAAGAACCCCTACGTGGTGGCCAGCCTGCACTTCTGCATCGCGCTGGGTTACACCAACAGCAGCCTCAACCCCGTCCTCTACGCTTTCCTGGATGAAAACTTCAAGAGGTGTTTCCGCGAGTTCTGCCTGCCCTTCCGAGCTCGTGTGGAGCAGAACAGCTTCTCCAGAGCTCGGAACACCACGCGGGAGCGCGTCTCCACCTGCGCCCCGTCGGACGGCCGCGGCCAGCCGGCATGACTAGGCGTGGGTGAGCAGCGGGGTGCTGGGGACGAGCCGCGCTCAGAGGTCACCCAGGAGACCACCACAGAGCTTTAGCCCTGCTGGGACTGAATGCAGACAGACTGCGGAGAGTTTTCTTTTTGGTGGGGCTCGTTGAGCCATGAGAGGACGCCCACTGCACACGTAGGGCTTGGGCTGCCTTTCTGCCCATGGAAAACCCATCGGTGAGCAGTGGTTTACTGGAGACCTCCAAGCCAACTCTGGCCCCAGAGAGGACCTTTGAGTTGATACTACTGCTGCGTTATTGGGATCTCACTGGCAACCCTGCCCATGGGTGCAAAGCTGGCAATGCGGGCGCAGCATCCCCAGCCCCACAGCAACGCTGCATTCCTGCATCCCACAGGGCAGCTCCCATCCGTCTGCTGCCAGAGACAGCCAGCCCGAGGAAGATCTCATTACAGAGCAATTGGTGGGTACTTGAGGAGTTTCTCGCAGCGCTAACGCGATTAGGACGGCGCATCCATCCCTCGTCCTCTCCAGCACTGACAGTTTATGCACTCACAGCCACGTGAGGCAGAGCCCAGCCCAGGGCTGGGGTTTTGTGCTCAGCACCATGCGGATGGAGCCCTGTTCTCCAGCAGCACCTCGATGGGAGCTCATCTGCAGCAGCCATCAGCCCTGGGGCTCTGCACTGCATTACCACCGCTAAACAGGGACAGATGCATCCCTGGTGCCGCTGACCTTCTGTCCCCTCCACCTCCTGCAGCAGCTCTGTGCCCATGAGGGCACACAGCCCACGGAGGATGGGGCTCAGAAGGAGCACTAATGGCTTTTATTGGACAAATTGATGGTGCTGGAGGAAGCAGGCGGACACGTGGGTGCACCTGGGGCGCGTGGGCTGGAAGGAGAGGCCGCCTCTTGGCTCTGTTTTTTTTCCAGTTGCATCAATTGAGCCTAATGAAGGTCATTACCTCTCCACAACGGCCTTACCTTGCTGCAGAGCTGCTGGCGATTGCAGCCTGCCCCTTTGCAAGGCAGAGCTGACGAGGCAATGGAGACCAATTTCTTCTTGGAAGGGCCAAATGGAGCAAAATTTTGGATCACAAATCAAGGATCACTGGGGCACTTTTACAGTCTGTCTGCAGTGCATCCCTCCCAGCTGAGCAATGCCTCAGCGCTGCAAAGCTTCGCCTGCTTGTGCCTCCCACTGGGCTGAGCGTCAGCCCCGTGTGGGGTTTGGGGTGTCCTAAAGGGTCGGGATGTGCCTGTATGATTGGGCTGTCTTTGTATGGTTGGGATGCCCCTGTAGGGCTGGGGTGTCCAAGTAGGATTGGGATGTCTCTGTAGGGTTAGAATGTGCCTGTAGGATTGGGGTATTCTACAGGATTGGGATGTCCTGCAGGGTTGGGGTGTCCATGTAGGACTGAGGTGTCATTGCAGGGTTAGAATGCCCCTGTAGGGTTGAAGTACCCTGTAGAACTGGGTCTGGTTGGGTTGGGATGTCCTGGTGTGGTTGGGGTGTCCCTGAAGGATTGGGATGTCCCATAGGGTTGGGATGTCTTTGTAGGTTTGGGATGTCCTGTGGGGTCGGAGTGACACAGGACTGGGGTGTCCCTGCAGGGTTGGAATGTCCATATAGGATTGGTGTGCTGCTGAAGTGTTGGAATGTCCCTGCAGAGTTGGAATGTCCCTGTGTGGTTGAGCTGCCCCAGGGCTCTGTGTACTGCAGCACAAGGGACACATGGGGGAGGTGACCCCACCATCACAGCTCCATCCTGAGGCCACAGTGCTGAGGACCATTTCCCACCCTGCAGGGCCCCGCCGCTCTCTCAGCCTGCTGGAAAATGTGCTGCAGTGCCCTTAAAGTGGGTTAAAAGGCTCTTGGTCATTATTTTTTAAACTCACCCACGCTCCGGCAGATGCAGGAGGGGAAAGAGAAAGCAGAGGAAAAACTTAACCCTGCTTCCACTCCAGTCAGGATGCTGACGGGGAGGGCGCCCTGCACACTTATACATACATTTATACAGATGTACATGGCTCTGTCTACAGGCAGACCCCGCGTCCCCATCCCTGTCCCCTCCGCTGTGTCCCAGGGATGGCACTGCTGCCCCCAGCCCTCGTCCCTCGATGCCATTGCTGTACAGGAGCTGCACCCGCTGGGAAAGAAAAGAGAGCCGAGAGCTTCCAGCGCCGCTTCCATTCCCCAGAGCCGAAAACGAGAGGGGATGCTTTGAGGGGGGGGGGGGGGGGGGGGAAGATGGGGAGGGTCTGTGCCCCCCCAGGGCCGCCGTACGGGGGATCTGAGCGCACAGCGGCACCGATGGGTCCTTCTGTGCTCATTATTGCAGCGGCACAGCACCCAGCCCGAGTAATCTAAATGCAAATGAGGATTTAGAGCAGGAGCGAATGGAAACGGGCGTCGGAGCCCGCGCTGAACGAGACGTCGGGGTTTTTTTTCCAAGCCTTTATCGCTTTCTGTCACCTCAATGGGCTCAGAGATGGGGAGCAGCAGAACCCGGAGCGCTCCGGGGGGGTGCGGAGGTGTTGATGGAGGAGCAGAGGCTGAAGGATGCAGCGATGGCACGGCACTGAACGGTGCTTCCCCACGTGCACCCAGCTCCAGAGAACAGCATCTGCAAATCTGCAACCCGAGGAGACGTTTGCTATTTTTTTTTTTTTCTGTTTTGCTAATTAATCCATTAAATAATGAGCCCTCATGCAGCACACTTGATTCCAACGTGTGTGATTGATGACGCGGCCGCTGGGTTCTTTGTCTGCAGCAATGCCATAATTGCATTATTACGCACATGGCCATGACTTCGCCGTGTGGATGCAGAGCTCTCCCACCCCCCACAGCAGCCCAGGCTGCATCCCGGCTCTCAGAGACAATCTTGGCTTCACTTCGAAACCCAAATCGTCGTGAATAATGACTGAGGCTTTCCCTTTTGTCTCCCTTTCTTTTCCCAGCTGCAAACCCTGCACAGCACCAGCGCACGATGGCACAGCCGTGTGCTGGATGCGGTGGCTGCCTTCTCCCCCCGGGTGCCACGCAGGGGGCTCAGGGAGGCGATGCTGGCTGTGCCAAGGCTGAACCCCACGGTGCAATAGATGCACGTTTCTGCCTCTGCTTTTGGGTGCAAACCCCAGCCCTGCACCAAACCCAGACCCCACGTCTGCTATAGGGATGGGGAAAGGCTCATCCCCCCTCTATCCTACCCCAGTGCCCGAATTCCTCCTCCTTCATCCCCCCACACAGCAAAGCCATGTTAATGAGACGTTTCCCTTTCCTCAGTTACGCTGTTTTCCTCCACCCTCCCCATCCTTGGAGGCCCATCCTTCCCCAAATCCTGCACGGCATCCCATTGAAGCATCACTCCTGCTCCCAAGACAACGCGAGTTGATTCATCGCTGCTGATAAATTTAAACTCTTTTGTTTGTGCCGTTGTTCTCCCTATCCGTGTTTTCCTCCCTTTCTCCATAAAGCCCCCCCTCACTCTGATGAGCTGCAGGCTCCTCGCTGGCTGGGGACGTTCCCTGCCAGGAACAGGATGGGAAATGCTGGGCTTTGTTCCCAAATGACTGCAGCAGCTCTGGACTTGGGGTCCATGTAGGGCACTGCACCAGCCCAGTGCTGCATGTGCTGCAATGTGCCCCCAAACAGGGGCTTGGGGTGTCCAAGATGCCGAGCTCAAGCCGTCACCTCTCGTCCTTCCTAAGAACATTTGCCACCTTGTCAAGAGGACAGCACTTCAGAGGCATTATCCTCTTTGGGAGGCATTCACACCACCAAGGAATGCGTCAGGAATCCAAACCCAGGTTTATCGGTGACTTAACCCAACCCAACCCCATCCAATCCCAAACCAAATCCCATCCGACCCCATTCCATCCCAACCCCAACCCAAATCCCACCAGACCCCGTTCCAATCCCAATCTCAACCCCAACCTCCTCCCATCCCAACCCAAATTCCATTCAACCCCATCCCAATCCCACCCCCAACCCAAATCCCGTCTGATCCCATCCCAATTCCAACCCCAACCCACCCAGACTCCATCCTATCCCCAACCTAAATTGCACCCTAACTCAATCCCAACCCCAATCTCATCCCATTCAACCCAAATCCCATTCAAACTCATCCCAATCCCATCCCCATCTCAATCTCCAACCTAAATCTCATGCCATCCCACCCTAATCCCAACTCAAATCCCATCTGACCCAATTTCCAACCCCAACCCCATCAGACTGGAGCTGCCTCCTTCACCCCCTGCTTCCACGCACCCTCCTTCCCATTACAGCCCCGGAGGATCCCCACGTCTCCCTCGATTACATCCCTCCACATCTCTGAGCTATTAATAGGGGCAGCGAGGTGACGCAGGCAGACGCACACGGGAAGGAGCCACCCCAGCCCTGTGTCACAGCAGCGTTAGCGGGCACAGAGAAGGGCTGCAAAGCACAAAGGGGGAGGGGGGGGGGGGGGCGTTTGCTATTTGTGCTGGAAGGGGTATAAAAATAACAGTGCTGTTCCCCCACCGGGTCACGCTGGGTGATGGAGGAGCACTGAATGGAGGGTGATGGGTCCCCAGGAGCAGCCTTAGGTTGGGGTGAGCGCTGCTGGCTCAGCCTGTGTTGGTGGTGATTTGAGATGATGCGTGGGTCAGACAAAAAGCTGCTCTGTGGTGGTGGGAGAGGAGCAGAGCTTCGTGCTCAGCCCCTCATTGCACCTCCAGGCTCATCCTTCCCAGCCCAAAACGTGCAGAGCAAATGGGCAGCGAGCCCCCCCACAGCATCCCACCAAACTCCCACCCCCAGCTGGAGCCTCATTAAGGAACCTGCTCCCTAATGAACACCCAACAGACACCAGAGGTTGGGGCCACGCCGCGATGCAACCCATCACCTTCGACACCTCAACTCCAACCCCTATCAGGATCCGTTCTGCCCCAGCTCCCAATGGTGTCAGGGACAGCGTGGGGTCAGCAGCACCCCATGGGGACCCTGCCCTCCTCACTGCCATCCCCGGTGCTCCTCGCACTGCTGCCATCCTGCGGCAGAACCCCACAGCTGCACACAACAAGTGCACACAGCCCCGAAGCGGCACAGCGTGAGATGGCACTGCCACCCACAGCGCCCTGCCCTGCTCCACGCAGAGGGAAACCCAGCACTTATCAAAACTCCATTTATTCCAAACGTTTAGAGGTTTTCTTCTTTTCCCCCCTCCCTCTCTTCCTCAATCAACCAAAATACTTTACATTTTCTTTAAAAAAATTCAACGTTAGCCACTGTACAGCTCCCAGGCTCCTGACCAGCCCCAAGCACACACAGCTTCCCTCCCCCCATTGCTATAACTTAAATGTATAAAATCCATCCTCGCAGTGCCTCCCTTCCCAGTGCAGCTACCTGGAAGGCAACACGGAAACAGAAGACGGGGCACCTGAGAAGGCTCTGGGAGCCCTCTGCCTTCCCTCGCTGTGGTTTGGGAGACAGCAGAGCAGGGAAGCAGCTGCCCAATGTGGGGCTGGTGGCAGGAGGAGACGCCCGTGGGCCACGCGATCCCACTGCGCCCCAATGGAGTGATCAGCTCCGTGCCTTGTCCTTGACCAGCAGCACTGTGTGTTGGCCTCCGCTGGACACAGCCAGGACCAGGCGGTTCTCCAGCTGTTTCCCTGTCATCTCCACGGGGCTCCAGACATCCTCCTCTTCGCCCGTTCCCAGCTGGTGGTTGGTGCCCATTCCCCACGCGAATGCCCGTCCTGCAAAGGAGGTGATGAGAGTTTGGGCTTTGGGTAAAAACAGCATCTGGAGCTGGGCAAAGGGGGGAAGCAAAGGGTTCCAGAGGGGCAGGCAGGGGGGGGAGAGAAGGGAGGAGGCATTTGGGCTTCCTATGGAGCAGCGTTTCATTGCATGGACTGCCTTAAAGCCAGCACCTTGCCCCCAAGGAGCAATGCAAACGCACCAAGCCTGTTCTCACGCCACAGCAAATCCTTCCTGCAGCTGCAGATGCTGCACACAGCCCACAAAGAGCTCCCAAGTTCACAGCTCGGTTCTCTGACCAGCCCCGCTGGGTCAGCACGCTCTGACAAACCCCTCTGTCAAGTGCCCACAAAAACACGTGAGCAGCTGCTGCCCCTGGGCTGCAAAAACATGGGGAATGGGCTGAGTCCCAACCCAGTGTGTGATGGAGCTCCTGGAAGGGAGAGCCCCGCAGGGGTGGATGAGGGTACAGGGCAGCTCCTGAGCCCCCCATGGCAGGGAGGCCGCAGCACTCACCATCACTGCTGACAGCATAGCCGACCGATGCGCCACATGCGACGGAAGAGATGCTGGGGAGGTCTGGGATGACAGTGGGTGTGCTCTTCTCTTCTGCCCCTTCCCCGAGGCCCAGCCGGCCGTACTCAGCCCTGCCCAGGCTGTAAGCCTTACCTAGGGCACAACAGAGAGCAGGAGAGGTGAAACAAGGAGGGCAGAGACCACAGGAAGCTGGAGCCAGACCCTTCCTGCCCCAGGTCTGACCCTGGAGGAGCTGGGAGCATCACTCCTCCCCACCACATCCCTCAGCAAACCCTCGATCTGACCCTGGGCTCCCCAGTGGGATACAGGACTCTAGGAGGGGGTTTCTGTCATCATCCCTGCTCTTTGTTTCAAATTTGAGCCACCTTTTCAACAAGAGTACATTTCTGCAAAAGCCAAACGGCCCCTCCAACAGCTCGTCACAGACACAACCGCCGTGCTGCCTCAAACACCAAGGACTCGGCCTTTCAGCCTTTCACCCTCACCCCAACATCTCCCCCAAAGGACTGGGATCCCCGGGAGCCCCGCTCTGCTCGGCAGCCCCTCCATCCCACTGGTGCTCACCCTCTGAGTCCACGCACACGGTGTGGTGCTGCCCGCCAGAGAACCCGACCCAGGACTTGGTGGAGTTCTTGAAGGATGTCAGGTTCTGTGGGGAGAAGCAGGGCTCGGTGCTCTGGGTCCCTGCAGGGCGAGATGCACAAAGCCCAGCACATCAGGCACAGCACTGAGCCATCCTCACAAGGCTGACCCCACTGATGGCAGCCCAGCCCAGCCCTGCAACCCCAGTCCCAGTTATCATATTTCTCCTCACATCCAGCAGCTGAAGGGGCTGGGAATTAAACCCAGAGCCCCAAGCGCAATTTCCAGCTCCTACATGTCCTGCAATGGGCACTGGGTGTGCAGGGTGAGCTCAGGGCATTTTGGAGACCCAGTAAAGGCAGGAGATTCACAGGGACACAAACAAATCTCACCCAGCTGGTGGTAGTTGGAGAGGCCGAACCCATAGATGTGTCCTTCCCGTGTGATGGCAAAGGTGAAGTAAGCCCCACAGAAGGCATCCTGGAAGCGCATCTTGCCTTTGCCTCTGACAGGGACACGCTGGGGGACCAGCAGGCGCTCTGGGCACAAGAAACAAGGCATCATATGAGAGCTTATGATTTACACTCTTTTCCTCTCCTCTCAGTTGCAAATCATTGGATTTAAGCGACCGATTTACAAACAAGCCCTGGAGTTGCCAAGGAAGAGACAGAGAGCCTCTGCTCCTCAGCAAAGCTGTGCACAGAGCCCAAGTTCACAGCCTGCTCGCCACAGCCCCGAACGTCTCTGAGCACCAAAGCCACTCACGCAGCCCCTTCCGTCCTCCTCTGTTGGAAAAGAGTGCAGGCACCCTGCCCAGCTGGCCCTGCTCGCCGCAGCCACACGTGAACAGGTCGCCATCCACCGTCAGCATCACCAGATGGTCGTTCCCTGCAAAGAGACACAGGAGGTGAGCGCGGCTGATCCCACCAGGGGGGGCATCCCGCCCTGAAGTCCCATCTGTCCAAGCTTTCCAGGATTCTGTGGCCTTTGGCAGCTTCAGGATCGCTCGACACACCTAAGATCACTTCTTGGCAGAGGTTCCCCATCGGAAAGTTTCACTGCATGGTTCAGAGGCACAGGAGCCCCCCAACCTCACCTGGATACTGGACAAACTCCCTGGCTGCTCTGCTTGGCTTCCCCGGATCTAGAAAGGGCCAGTGCCCTCACCCTGTGGAGGGGCATGAACTGCAAAGCATTTTCAATCAACTGTTAACCTAAACTGTAGAATAACTCTTAACTAACTGTAAAACATGTTCCTATTTGACCCAATCTGAGTTTAAACTAACACTAGGGCTAGATGACCCAGTGAAGCCCATCCTTGCACCCAGCCCAGTGCAGCGAAAAGAGGAAATAGGAAAGGAAAACTCTCTGGGTTGATAACTGCAGGACAAGGGGAAATGGTTTGAAGTTGAGGGAGGGGAGACTGAGGTTGGACGTCAGGGGGAAGTTCTTTGCTATGAGAGCAGTGAGGTGCTGGAACAGCTGCCCAGAGAGGCTGTGATGCCCCGTCCATCCCTGGAGGTGTTCAAGGCCAGGTTGGATGGGGCCCTGGGCAGCCTGGGCTGCTCTGAAACGTGGAGGTTGGTGGCCCTGCATGCAGCAGGGGGTTGGAGCTTCGTGATCCTTGAGGTCCCTTCCAACCTTGCGATTCTGTGTGACCTTCACCCCTTGCCCAAGGCTGAACAGCCTGCCCTGAGTGCCCATTGCTGACCTGAGACAATTTTAACAACGGGTACGTTGAGCTGAAGCAGCGCAGGAACGGTGCTCTTCTTCATGGGCTCCAGCAGCCCGATCACCCCGTTGTTATCCTGGGTGGACAGACGGGTGCACAGAAATGAGTCACAGACGCCGCCCAGCCGCCACCAGCAGAGCTTCCAGTGATTTTCCAAACAGCCAACGTACCCGGAAGGAGCCCCAGATGAAAACCCTGCCATCATCCGTCAGCGCGGCCGTGTGGCTGTCCCCTGCAGAGACCTGCACCACCTTCTCCTGCAGCTGCACAGGTCCTGGGGTGCACTCTGACCCTTCCTCTGACGTGTCGCGCCCGAGGGCGCCTTCGTCATTGCAGCCAAAGGTGTAGATCTGTAAAGAGAGGGTTGCGGTCAGGATGGGACACAGGAGCTCCACAGGATGCTCATGGAGCCATGGGACAGAGACCCACCAGGCTGAATTATCCCTCCACACCCAAAAATTCCCAGGTCCACGGCACCATCTGGGAGCTGGGGGAGGGAGACTGCAGCCCCAGCACCAGCAACAGCCACAGCCACAGACGTGCAGAGCGAGGCGTGATTCAAACCCCGCTCCAGGACACAGCCGAGCTCCCTATGCTTGCAGGGGCAGCTCAGCCCCCCACCCAGCTCCCACCCAGCTCCCCCCGGCCCCCCGTGCTCACTCACTTTGCCCGTCTCGCTGAGGCACACGGTGTGCATCCCTCCTGCCTCCACCTGCACCATCAGCTCCGGCAGCTGCACCAGGGCCGGCTTCTTCCTCTCCATCACGTCCTGCCCCAGGCCCAGCTGCCCGACGTCCCCCTGGCCCAACACAAGCACCAGGCCGGGCTGCGTGCGGTGCGACGGGTGGCTGACTGAGGGCAGAAAGGACAGATGGAGCCGGAGGGAAAAGCACAGGGAATTATGAACCTGCCCGGGGAGTTCTCTTACTTTTAAGTTTCTTCCTTTCAGGTGACTGCTCCAAAACGGGGCTTTTCTTGGCAGCACGTTTTCCAGACATGTTGGTTGGGATCTGAGCAATGAAAGCTGCTCTGTTCAGGCCTGGCCCAGCCGGCAGAGCGCTGCAGTGCTGCGGTGCAGCTGTCGGTTGGCCTTCCTGGAGACAATCCCTGCGTGTCCCCTCTGCTGCAGTCCGGATCTCACTGAAGGCACTGCCTTAGGACTCAGACACCGATCTGTCCTCCCGCTTTGAGAAAACACAGGTCACTTTTTCACGTTTTATCCCATTGCACTCGTGCAGAAATGAACCCCCTGCACTCTTTGCACCACGGAAAGCTGCAGAGCCAGGCTGCGCCCCAACCTTTGGGACTTTGAGCGCTCTGCCCCCAGCACACAGCATCCCACCCGGCCCCACCGCATGGCTTGGGAAGTGGAACGACTCCCCGGGGGTCCCCGCACCCCGTTCCCATCAACCACACCGCCCACATCACACGGGCTGCCGAAGGGGCCGGGGGGCTGCGCGGCTTTTTGCCGCCAACCACGCCGTGCCCGCACCGCGGGAAGCACCGAGAGCTCCGCTCCCAGCCCAGGAACGCGCGCGGAGCCGCGAATTCGAACTTCCCGCTCGCCCTCCCCCCACCCCAAACTCCACCACTTCCCCTCCCCACGTGGGGCAGCGCAGGCCCGGCCTTTCCCGAGCACGAGCGGACGGACCGAGCGGCTCCGGGAGCGGCACGGCCACGCGGACCCCTCCCCACCCCCACCCCGTTCCAACCCCCTCCTCCAGCCCCGCTCCGTGCTCCCCCCTCCCCGCCCCATAGCCGCGCACCCACCTCCGCCGCTCCGCCGCCGCTGCTCCCGGCCCCGCGCTCCCCGCCCGGAGCATGCGCCGGGGCACGGCGGGCGTCACAGCGCCCCCTGCAGGCCGCGGAGGTCCGGGACCGCCTCCGCGGGGCACGGGAGGCTCCGTCCCTCCCATCCCGGGCCGATCTTCGCAGGAGGAGCCTAAAAATCCCCCAACACCTCGCGCTAAGACGGCGAACGTCCGTACGGCGCTTCTCCCGGCTCTCACCTGGTCTCGCTTTTTCCCC